TTTATCATCAAGCTATCTTCTTATGATATTAGGCTGATATTTGTATGATTGTATTAGCTAGTAAACAATCTTCTATCAGATTGTATAATGTTAGGGGTGATCTATAGTATAGGTGGGCACATAGTGTTTAAAATTCCTTACGGTTCTTCTATAGTATAGGTGGGCAAACTCCGACGATATCACATAATCACACAAAAGTCACATGTTTTATGATCGTGATGTCTACTGCTAATTTTAACTTTGCGTAATGATTATTTTTTAGATGATTGTGATGTCTACTGCTAATTTTAACTTTGCGTAATGATCTTTTTGTTTAAATTAAATAGTCCACTTGGCTCAAATTATGAGCATCATTAGTTTCGGGAAATGCTTATTTCACAAATTTGGAATAAGTTGTTTACTTTTTCCACTTTGTTCAGATTAGTAGCTTTGGGTAAAGTATATACACCAATGGAGCTTTTTGTTTGAATAAGTTGTTCAACTCTCCACTTGGTTCGAATTAGGTGTCATTAACTTTTGGTGAGGTCTATTTAATGAATTGGCTTCTTTTTTGTTTTGAATAAGTTGTTCAACTTTTCACTTGATTCGAATTAGGTGTCATTAACTTTTAGAGAGTTCTATTAATGAATCGGCTTTTTTTTTTTTGAAATAAGTTGTTCAACTTTCCACTTGGTTCGAATTACGTGTCATGAGCTTCGGGTGAGACTTATTTAATGAATTGGCTTTGTTTTTTTTGGAATAAGTTGTTCAAATCTCCACTTGGTTCGAATTAGGTGTTTTTAACTTCTGGTGAGCTCTATTTAATGAATCGGCTTCTTTTTTTTGAATAAGTTGTTTACACTTTCCACTTGGTTCAAATTAGGTATCATTAGCTTCGGGTGAGGCCTATTTAATGAATCAGCTTCTTTTTTTTTGAATAAGTTGTTCGGTTCGAATTAGGTATCATTAGCTTTGGGTGAGTTCTATTAATGAATTAGCTTTTTTTTTCCCAATAAGTTGTTCAACTCTCCACTTGGTTCGAATTTGGTGTCATTAGCTTCGGGTGAGTTCTATTAATGAATCAGCTTTTTTTTTTCCAATAAGTTGTTCAACTCTCCACTTGGTTCTAATTAGGTGTCATTAACTTTTGGTGAAGTCTATTTAATGAATCAGCTTTTTTTTTTAAATATATTTTTCAACTTTCTACTTAGTTCGAATTAGGTATCATTAGCTTCTGGTTAGGCCTATTTAATGATTAACTTTTTTTTTTGAATGAGTTGTTCAACTTTCTACTTGATTCGAATTAGGCGTCATTAACTTCAGATAAAACGTATTTAATGAATCAACTTCTTTTTTTTGAATAAGCTGTTCTACTTTCCACTTGTTTGAATTAGGTATCACGTATATGACGGTAACTCAAAGTAAAAGTGACGATCAAAAGCTTAAAGTAGCTTTGCAGAACAATAACAATAATAGAGTTAAATAAACTATGTAATTAGTAATAACGTAATTGTATAGTATGTAAGGATACAAATAAGGAATGTAAAGTATGAGAAATCAGTTTTAGAAGTTAGTTAGTTTTAGAATTCTTTGCATAAACCGCATCTTTAATAAAGAGAATAATACTTCCAATTTGTCGTTATCATATCAGTCGTGTTAAATAAAGTTAATAAACAAGCGAGAGTTCGTTATATTCATATCTGGCTAGATTTTTGGTGCTAAACTAGTAGTATCACTTAACCCCGTGACACTAGGTGTATTAGCTTCAGGTGAATGAATCAGCCTTTTTCTTTTTGAATAAGTTGCTCAACTTTTCACTTGTTTGAATTAGGTGTCATTAGCTTCGGGTGAGACTTATTTAATGAATCAGCTTTGTTTTTTTTTTGAATAAGTTGTTCAACTTCCACTTGGTTTGAATTAAGCGTCATTAGCTTCAGGTAAAACGTATTTAATGAATCAGCTTTTTTTTTTGAATAAGTTGTTCAACTTTCTACTTGGTTTGAACTAGGTGTTATAAGCTTCAGGTGATACTTATTTAATGAATCGGTTTCTTTTTTTTGAATAAGTTGTTCAACTCTCCACTTGGTTCGAATTAGGTGTCATTAACTTTTGGTGAGGCTATTTAATGAATCGGTTTCTTTTTTTTGAATAAGTTGTTTAACTTCCAATTGGTTCGAATTAGGTGTCATTAACTTTTGGTGAGGTCTATTTAATGAATTGGCTTTTTTTTTTGAAATAAGTTGTTCAACTTTCCACTTGGTTCGAATTAGGTATCATTAGCTTCGGGTGAGGCCTATGTAATGAATCAGCTTTTTTTTTTGAATGAGTTGTTCAACTTTCCACTTGGTTCGAATTACGCGTCATGGGCTTCGGGTAAGGCTTATTTAATGAATCAGCTTTTTTTTTGAAATAAGTTGTTCAACTTTCCACTTGGTTCGAACTAGGTGTTATGAGCTTTGGGTGATACTTATTTAATGAATCAGCTTCTTTTTTTTTTGAATAAGTTGTTCAATTCTCCACTTGGTTCGAATTAGGTGTCATTAACTTTTGGTGAGGTCTATTTAATGAATCAGCTTCTTTTTTTTGAATAAGTTGTTCAACTTTCTACTTGGTTCAAACTAGGTGTTATGAGCTTCGGGTGATACTTATTTAATGAATCGGCTTCTTTTTTTTTTGAATAAGTTGTTCAAATCTCCACTTGGTTCAAATTAGACGTCGTTAGCTTCGGGTAAAATGTATTTAATGAATCAGCTTTTTTTTTTTTGAATAAGTTGTTCAACTTTCCACTTGGTTCAAATTAGGTGTCATTAGCTTCGAGTGAGGCCTATTTAATGAATCAGCTTCTTTTTTTTTGAATAAGTTGTTCAACTTTCTACTTGATTCGAATTAGGTGTCATTAGCTTCGGGTAAGTTCTATTAATGAATTAGGTTTTTTTTTTCTAATAAGTTGTTTAACTCTCCACTTGGTTCTAATTAGGTGTCATTAACTTTTGGTGAGGTCTATTTAATGAATCAGCTTTTTTTTTTGAATATGTTGTTCAACTTTTCACTTGGTTCAAATTAGGCGTTATGAGCTTCGGGTAATACTTATTTAATGAATCAGCTTTTTTTTTTTTAAATATGTTTTTCAACTTTCCAATTGGTTCGAATTAGGTGTCATTAACTTTGGGTAAGTTCTATTAATGAATCAGCTTTTTTTTTTGAATAAGCTGTTCAACTTTCTACTTATTGACCAGAGAAATGAATTTTCCTTAAGAATCTCAAGAAACTGAAAAACCATCTAAGTCTGAATCAAAGACTCATAATATTCCTGAACAGGAACCAGAACCTGTGAAAAAATCAGAAGAAGAGCTTAAGAAAGAAGCAGTCAAAGAAAAAAAAATCTTGGTAATGAAGCATATAAAAAAAGAGTGTTCGAAACAGTATTACAACATTATGATAAGGCTTAAGAGTTGGATCCTACTAATGTTTCTATTCTGACTAATAAGGCAGGTGAGTTAAGGTTTAATTCTATCATTTTTAAAATTTTACATTTAATTATTAGAAATATATAATTGTAATAATATTATATTACACAATTTGTAGCCGTATTGTTTGAACAAGAAAATTATGAAGAATGCATTAAAATTTGTAAGCAAGCTGTCAATGTTGGTCGTGAAAATCACGCGGACTTTAAATTAATTGCTCGGTAATAATAAATCAATATATTCGACTCATTAATTATATCTACAATATTATTAGTTAACTTATCATATTTCAAAATATTAAAGAGTCTATTGAAGAATTGGAAACATGTATATTAAACTTGATAAGCTAGATGATGCAATTAAATATTACGGCAAGCCGCTAGCTGAACATCGAACACCCGAAATACTTACTAAATCTAATGAAATTCAAAAGCTAAAAGTCAAATGTGAAAAAGAATCATACTATAATCCAGAGCTTTTTGAAAAAGCTCAAGAAGCTGGAAATAAACTTTTCAAAAAAAATGACTTTGCAAGCACTGTGCAACAATACACAGAAGCAATTAAACATAATAAAAACGATCCAAAATTTTATAGTAATCATGCTGCTTGTTATACAAAACTAATGGTATTCCAAGAAGCATTGAAAGACTGTGAGACTTGTATCAGTCTTGATCCTACCTTTGGTAACATATTCATTACGTCTTTTACTATTTAATTGATACATTATGAGATATTAACGCTTTTTAATTACAGTTAAAGCCTATATTAGGAAGGCAGCGTTAGAGTTTTAAAAGAAAGATTATAAATGTTTAGAGACTTGTAAAACCATGCTAAGCTATGATACAAAAAAAAAAACATATTTCAGAAATTCAAGGGCATATGAGAAAATGTCAAGAAGCAATGTATTAAAACAGTCCAGAAAGTGTAGAAGAGACAATTCGCAAGGCTGCTTGGTTCGAATTAGGCATTATGAGCTTTGGGTGAGACTTATTTAATGAATCAGCTTTTTTTTTTTTTGAATAAGTTGTTCAACTCTCCACTTGGTTCGAACTAGGTGTCATTAACTTCTGGTGAGCTCTATTTAATGAATCAGCTTCTTTTTTTTAAATAAGTTGTTTACACTTTCCACTTGGTTCAAATTACGCGTCATTAGCTTCAGGTAAGGCTTTATCCGAATATTCATATTTTCTATTTTGTTTAAACTTATAGCATTGATTTAGTGTTTTAATTAAAATTTTCAGATAAATATTTTTTTATAGATGTGTAATGACTTTTGGAAAGTGATAACCTAAAGGTCCTTCTTCAAGCATCTCATTTTAATTGATTTATGCGCATGAAAATATTATGCTGTAATGATAAACTCTTGTAGTATAGGTGATCGATCGAAATTTGTTGATTAATCATTTGTAAATTTATACTGATTAGAATTGCATATATGATTTATGTAAATAAAAATAAATCTTTATCAATAGACAGCATAAATTCATGCTTAAAGCGTTTTGCGCATTAAAATTATTTATATAAATTCGAGTAAATTTTTATTCAAAAAATGTGAAAAATTCTAAAAATGTCTTCGTCTTCTACTTCGTCTTCTACTTCATCTTCTATAACTTCTGTTCTCACGTTAAAAACTCTTCAACCTATCTTGTTTGATGAGAAAAATTGCATTGAATTTTTATTTGATCAAGATATTTTGTATAAACCTAAAAAATGTTCAGTTTGCAAAAAAGGCAATATGAACCGCGAGGCCTTACTTTTTAGATGTAGAAAATGGAAATGCCATACATCACTTTCAATTTTTAAAGATTCCTTCTTTGCTAAAAATCGTATTACATGTTCAGATGCTCTATTAATTAGCTATCTTTGGCTTTGCAAATATACCTATATATCCATCATCCTTATGACTAAACATTCACCTAATACTATAACCAATTATATGAAGTTTTTTAGAGAATTAGTGATAGATACATTAGAAAAAGAAACGACCATTATAGGTAGAAAAGATGTGATTGTTGAGATAGATGAATCAAAATTTGGAAAAAGAAAATATCATAGGGGTCATAGGGTCGAAGGAGTTTAGGTTGTAGGTAGTATAGAAAGAACAGAGGAGAAAAAGTGTTTTGTAGTAGTTGTGCCAAATAGATCAGCAGAAACCCTACTTAATATTATATCAGAACACTTGTTACCTGGGTCAATTGTACATACAGATTTGTGGAAAGGATACCAGGGGATAGAGGGGATGGAGGGGATGGAGGGAGAGGAAATGAACTTGTCACACCTTACCATTAATCATTCCAAAAATTTTGTAGATCCTATTACTGAAACTCATACCAACACCATCGAAGGTCTCTGGAATGGAATCAAACTACAAATTCCACCTAGAAATAGAAATAAGGATACAATTGAAGACTATTTATTCGAATTTATATGGAGAAAAAAACATCTAAATAATTTATAGGAAAGTTTTCTTAATGCTTTGAAAACTACAGGTTATTTTGATGAAGCAGTGGAAAATTAATTTATTTAATATAATATTTTTATTACTATAAATTTTTATATTACTATACATACTCTAATAAATACTCTAATATAACTAATTTTTGTATTATAATAATCTAATAAACTATATATATAAATTAATATATAATATAATATACATTTAATTCATAACATAATTTAATAATTAATCTAAAAATGCTAAATAATTTATATCTCATATATTGATGCTTTATTCAAAGCTAATGATGCCCCAAATTTGACCAAGCCAAAAAAGGCCAATTCATTGAATAAGCCTCACCCAAAGTTAATGACACCTAATTCGAACCAAAGTTGAACAACTTATTCAAAAAAAAGAAGCTGATTCATTAAATAGACCTCACCCAAAGTTAATAACACCTAATTCAAAGCTAATAACACCTAATTCGAACCAAGTAGAGAGTTGAACAACTTATTCAAAAAAAAAGAAGCCGATTTATTAAATAAGTCTCACCCGAAGCTAATAATATCTAATTCGAACCAAGTGGAGAGTTGAACAACTTATTCCAAAAAAAACAAAGCTGATTCATTAAATAAGTCTTACCTGAAGTTCATGATACGTAATTCGAACCAAGTGGAAAAGTTGAACAACTTATTCAAAAAAAAAAAAGACATTCATTAAATAAGTCTCACCGAAGCTCATGACACCTAATTCGAACCAAGTGGAGAGTTGAACAACTTATTCAAAAAAAAAAAGCCAATTCATTAAATAAGTCTCACCCGAAGCTCATAATGACTAGTTCGAACCAAGTGGAAAGTTGAACAACTTATTCAAAAAAAAGAAGCCGATTCATTAAATAGAACTCACCTGAAGCTCATGACACCTAATTCGAACCAAGTGGAGAGTTGAGCAACTTATTCAAAAAAAAAAGAAGCTGATTCATTAAATAAGTCTCATCGAAGCTCATGATACCTAATTTGAACCAAGTGAAAAGTGTAAACAACTTATTCAAAAAAAAGAAGCTGATTCATTAAATAGAGCTCTCAGAAGTTAAAAACCCCTAATTTGAACCAAGTGTAAAGTTGAACAACTTATTCCAAAAAAAAAAGCTGATTCATTAAATAAGTCTCACCCGAAGCTCATGACACCTAATTCGAACCAAGTGGAGAGTTGAACAACTTATTCAAAAAAAAAGAAGCCGATTCATTAAATAAGTCTCAGCGAAGCTCATGACACCTAATTTGAACCAAGTGGAAAATGTAAACAACTTATTCAAAAAAAAGAAGCTGATTCATTAAATAGAGCTCAACAGAAGTTAAAAACACCTAATTCGAACCAAGTAGAGAGTTGAACAATTTATTCCAAAAAAACAAAGCTGATTCATTAAATAAGTCTCACCGAAGCTCATAATATCTAATTCGAACCAAGTGGAAAGTTGAACAACTTATTCCAAAAAAAAAAAAGCTGATTCATTAAATAAGTCTCACCAAAGCTTATGACACCTAATTCAAACCAAGTGGAGAGTTGAACAACTTATTCAAAAAAAAACAAAGCCGATTCATTAAATAAGTCTCAGCCAAAGCTAATGATACCTAATTTGAACCAAGTGGAAAGTCGAACAACTTATTCCAAAAAAAAAAGCTGATTTATTAAATAAGTCTCACCCGAAGCTCATGACACCTAATTCGAACCAAGTGGAGAGTTGAACAACTTATTCAAAAAAAA